AATGCCTCAATGTTGCTCTTTCCCCCCCCTTTTTTTCTGAGCTCATTTTTGAAGCTAATACTTTTTTGACTGCCAGGTCACTGTTTGTTAGCCCATTTTGAGCGTGCAGTCTGGATCACAAGAACTGTTTTCTAGCAGCATCTCTTCCATCTTATACTTGTGGAGACTCTTTTTTTATTAACCCAAAATGGAATTGAATATTTTGGGGTAGCCAGGTAGTGTAAGGAATAGAGCCTGGGCCTCGACTTAGGAAGACCTTAGTTCAAATCTGGCCTCAGACATTTACTGGCTATGTGATCCTGGGCAAGTCCCTTAACCCTATTTGAAAAATGAGCTGGAGAAAGAAATGGCTAACCACTGTAATATCTCTGTCAAGAAAAGCTCAGATGGGGTCATGAAGAGTCAGACACGACTAACATGACTGAAAAACAAAAAAATTCATATTATTAGGCTATTTTATTAAGCCTTGTAAGATCTTTTGGGATCCTGAATCTCTCACCTCTCTTGCTAGTTATCTCTCTGAACTTTGTTGTCATTAGATAATTTGAAAAGCAAACTATGCATATTTTGATCCAAGCCACTGATAAAAAGGTTTAGTAGCAGTAGGCCAAGAATACATATTCATGGGGCACTCCACTTGGCATAATTGACATTAAGCAGTGCTGTATATTGGGGAATGTTCCAGGCTTAGAATCAGGACATGGGTTCACATTTTATTCTACCACCTCCATTTTTAACTTCTGTTGTATAGCCTCTCTGGGCCTCACTTTTCTCAACTGTAAAATGAAGGATTGAGCTAGATAACCTCCAAAGTCTCCAGCTCTAAATCTGTGATCTTAAAAGCTCACAAATCTTTCCTTTAATGACATGTTCTAAAATTTTGCCAGGAGCTGAAGTTCATTAGCCCTATAATTTTTAGACTAATCTACTCATCTCCTCCCCTCCCCCCCCTTTTTTTAAAGGATACTTGCCTCTTTCCAGTCCTTTGGCACTTCTGTACTGCCATAATTTTTCTCTCTTTTTTTTTTTAAGTCTTACTGATTTCCCAGTAACAACCCTCAATAGAAGTCTCTCATAAGAGGAAATACAGTTAAGCAAAACAAACCAATATGTTGTTTATATCTGATAACATATGCTTTGTTCTCTACCTTTATGTGGTCTACTCCATTTCTACAAAGAGTGGAGAGGAGAGGTGTACCTCATGATCGGTTTTTTAGGGTCATGATTGGTGAATACATTGATCCAAGTCTTGATGTCTTTTCAAGTTTTCCTTTATATTGTGATTATTTTATATATTATGTGGGTTTAGCTTACTTCACTCTATCAGTTCATTAAGTCTTCTAAAGTTATTTTAAATACTTCACATTTTTCAGTTTTTATAACAACATTACATTTATATATATCAGTTTGTTCAGCATTTCCAATCAATAGATATCCAACTTGATTCCAGTTTATTATTAATACTACTATGAATATTTTGATATATATAGGACCTTTCCTTGTAGCTTTGACTTAGTCCATCGATGATATTGCTTTGTCAATGAGTATGAACAGTTGAGTTACTTTTCTAGGTTAGTTACAAATTGTTTTCTAGAACTGTTAGACCAATTCACAGTTCCACCATCAGTGTAGTGGTGTGCTTGTTTTCCAACAGCCCTTGTAACATTAATTATTTCCATGTACTTATTAAGCACTACTTATTAAGTATGTTCTAAACAGTATCCCAGGTACTGGGAATGCAAAGACAAAAATGAAATAGTCCCTACCCTTGAGAAGCTTAACATGATGACTCAGGGTTCCCAAAGACTGATAGCAAAAGAAAAGCTCTTGTTCTAACAGTATATAGAGACCAGAGCCTTTGAGTGGGGACCCAACTTTGAACTGATTATTTGTTAACGTTGGATCAGCTTTGTTGAGTTCAAAGAGGGGCTCATCACAAGGAAATTAGCCAGCAAGTGATATTATTGTGGAGTTTTTTCTCCCAAAGTGTATTTAACAAAGTATGGAAGATTTAAGTCTGGGTTGTGGAGAAAGTACTTAAGCTGATGAAACCATAGATCCTATAAAAACCATAGTATAGCTAGATATTTAGGGCTACGTGATTAGTGACTATTTCTTTGCTGTCTTCTCCTCCCTCTCCCCGCACATTTTTCTTTAAGTGACTACTTTGGACCTTTCCTAAATACCTAACATTAAAGGAAATCTAGTCTCCTTAAGGATTGTGTGAGTGAGCAGACTGGGAGGGATGAGAAGTTAGTATCATTTAAATATTTTCCATTGATGGGATGATATATATACACTAGAATTAGAAGATTTATTTTTCCTTTCTACATTGGTAGAATCTTAGGGATAATGGATGGATGGTCTAGGTCATTAAACAGGATGCAACACTTCCAAGTAGGCCCAGCTAGGTCAAAATGTTACTGGGAAATATTTAACAATAAATAATACAGTAAAACATAGATAACATTATATTTTTTTCAGATTTTAGTTTAAAAAATAGCGCTTCCTGGATTGAATTGAAAAGAGCTTGAAAAGGGAATTATTGTTCATAGTGGGGCTGTGCCAATATAATATGACACTGCCTAATTTACAGATTTAGTATAATTCTAATAATATTGCCAAACTAATAAAATGTATTTCAAGGAATGAAATGTCAAGAATTTCAAGAAAAAAAACAAGGAAAAGTAGGAATGAAGGATGCCTAGTTTTGTCAGGTTTCATACTGTATCATGAAGTAGTAATCCTCAAAATTATTTGGTACTGTTTGAAAAAGAAAAGTGTAAGTCAGCAAAACAGACTAGATAAGCAAGACCTAGAAGCAAAGGAACATGATAGTACAGTGTTATACCCAAGAACACAAACTACCAAGAAGACTTCCTATTATGTGACAAGACCTTCTGGGAAAAGTAGGCATTATTTGGCAGATAATAGGTTTGGATTAGCATCTTATATATCAAAAGAAGCTCCCAGTAGGTATAGGGATCTAGTCAGTGTAGATAGAATAGGAGAAGCTATAACTTAGGAAAATTCCTTGTTTCTGACAAAACAGATAAAGTTTTATCTAACATCTCTATAGAGGAATTAATTCAAATATATGATGGCCATCATTCCCCAATAGATGTTAGTGGTTTAAAGATACGAAGAAAGTTTTCCAAAAAAATGGAAGCTATCGATAGTTATACAGGAAAGAAAAATGCCCCCAAACACTAGAGAAATGCAAATTAAAACAACTTTGAGGAATCACCCATCAAACTGGCAAAGATGATAAAAGATTAAAAGAGTCAGTATCAGAGAAGTTGCAGGAAGACAGGCATATACGTATACTGTTGGCAGATCTCTGAATGGTCAAACCATTTAGGAAATCAATTTGAGATTATGTGGGAAATATTAAACTTTTCATGCTTTTTGACCCATTCAACCCACTTGAGCTTCTAGCTCAAAGATGTCAATGATAGTTTCATGCATGCCAAAATATTCATGAAGACATTTTTCATGGTAGTGGAAAAACAAAGTAGGTACCCATCCTTTTTTAGGTGATGGCTAAACAAACTGGTATGAATATAATGGAATGTTATAGTTCCATGAGAAATTATTAATATGAGAAACATGAGAAAACCTATATGAAATGATACATCATGAAGAAAGAAAAACCAGAACAGTATATACAATAATTATGATGATGTAATTGAGAGGAGTACTAGAGGGCAAGATAATCATCTCAAATGCAGTTTTTAGACAAGTGTAACACAATTTATTTTCAATAAATTATGAACAGTACCAAATGCTACAAATTTGCTGATTTGGAGTTTTTCTTAACCATTTTTGTTGCTAATGGGGAGGGTACTATGGTGAAGGGGATCACTAGATAATGATTTTAGTGTTTAAAAAAAACTTACTGCTAAACAGTTTTAAAAAACAGAACTTTTTAAAATTAGAATTTTATTGTTGCTTACTCCTAAGACTTCACACCCTAAGTATTATTTTAAAATAGCTGTAGCATTATGCCCAAAGGAAAGTGTTCTTTAATAGATGTTTATTTTCTAAATCTTTTATCAGTTTTATTTTTTTGTACATTTTTCTTCAGTGCTAAACTAAATATAGTCTGGTATAGTGGAAAAAAGCATCAGACAAGAACTCAAGAATTCAGTTGAATACTAATCATGATTCTCTTCACCAGCTGGTTTAGTGAATCTGGACAACCCATTTAGTCCCTCTGATACATTTTCGTCCTGAAAAAGTATTTGCATATAAATAATAGAATTCAATTTAACAAGGATTCTATAAGGTTCAAATGAATATAACGTATGTGAAAATGCTTTTTATTTTTTTAAATTTATTTATTTTAAGTTTTCAACATTCACTTCCATAAGCTTTTGAGTTTTCAATTTTCTCCCACTCCTTCCCTCTCCCCTCCTCAGGATGGTGTGCAATCTGATATACATTCATATTAAATCCAGATATACATTCATATTAAACATATTTTCACATTAGTCGTATTGTAAAGAAGTATTAGAACCAATGGGAGGAACCACAAAAAAGAAGAAACAAAACAAAACAACAAAGAAAAAAGAGCAAATAGTCTGCTTCTATCTGCATTCAGACTCCATAGTTATTTCTCCGGATATGGATAGCATTTTCCATCATGAGACTTTTGGAGTTGTCTTAGATCCTTGCATTGCTGAGAAGAGCCAATTCTATAAAAGTTACTCATTCCCACCATTGTGTTACTTTTGTTTTAGGAGTTTGGGGAGGGCAGGATGGAGGAATGAGAGAATTAAATGGAAAGTAGATAGCCTTCAAGGTCATTTGGTCTTTTACTTGTGCAAATTCAGCACTTAGAAACAATAATGTATGTCATGGGCAAGGCAACAAATCATTTATAAAACTTAACAGGTAATTTCTTAATCATGGTATACTTTTGCAATGACCGTCCTGAGTTTACAAATAGTATTTATCTTTCTTTTCTTTCTCATATTATTTTATTCTTTCTTTTTTAGGTAGTCAAGCCACACACTCCACTAATAAGGTTCCCTGACAGAAAAGGCTACCCCAAACTGAATGGTAAGTATCATCTTCCCTCAAATTAACACACACACTTGTATCATAGATTGCTTATCTTCATCATAAACCAGGTAGCCTTTTTAAAAAAAATTTTTTTTTAAATTTTTTCTTTTTTTTAGGCAATTGAAGTTAAGTAACTTGCCTAGGGTCACACAGCTAGTAAGTGTCAAGTGTTTGGTCTGAGGCCATATTTGAACTCAGGTCCTCCTGACTTCAGGGCCAGTGCTGTATCCACTGTACCACCTAGCTGCACCTCTTTTTTTTTTTTTAAAGCTAGTCATGGTATCTCAGAGGGTGTTAGTGGAATAGAGTGAATTCAATTCAACAAGTATTTATTAATCACTACTCTATGCCAGGGAAATTTAGGACCAATTTTTCTATTATTTATCTTTTTCATCAAATTTTTAATTATTCAGTGTTAAAACTTATGATAGCCATGGGAGGTGGCATGGAGGCTATAATGATATAGTAGTAGAATGTTTCTTCCTCTTCATTGATAATGAGTTTTTATGTCAGAAAATATGGGGGAAAGGGAGAAGGAACCCAGAATGTAATTTACTTCTAGTCAAGGTTTTTTTTTCTTTTCTTTTGAATCCAGTATTTCTTTCCCATTTTTCCTTTCCTCTTCTCTCCTGTTTCTTCTTCCATTGGACCTGTCAATGGGGAAGATTCCAGATGCTTCCCCTAATCTTACCCCTGCCAAGGAATGTAGGGCATGAGGGCCTCTTTCACTCTTTTCTCTGGGTCATGGAAAAAACCTTAGCAGTAACCGTATTAAATGAAAGAAGGCCCTAGAGGTTTGTCTGTTTCTCTTCACCTTTCTTCTTCTTCTTACTTTCTCTATCTCCTTTATTTCCAGTTAGATGCCCTTGATACCTTCATTTAAGCTACTGCTTTTAACATATTTGCTAAGGATGTTTGGTAGGTGATGTGGGTTATTTGGGACTGATATAATATAACAAATTATGCACAAGAGTTGATCTCTAATAACTATGTTATTTCTTGCAAATAATTTTACAAGAAAGTAATTAATGTATCTGTTAACTATGCTGACAAAGAGTATATGATTTCTTCAACTGGGAGAACTCCCATCTAAACAGTGTAGTCAATAAATCCAAGGGAGTTTCCTGCTTGAGGCAGTAGAGATTAAATGGCTTTCCAAGGGTTACAGTAGCTAGCAGTCAGTCAGCAAGTACTTATTTAGGCACATCTGATGCCTGCTGCGTACCTGGGCACTGAGGATACAAAAACAAAACAAAAGTGAAACAGTTCCTGTTCTCAGTGTCCTATCCAGGGAAACGACATGTGCACATATAAGTAAATACAAAATACATGCAAGTCAAATACAAGGTGATTTTATATGCAAGAAAGAGCAAGTTTTTCTGGAACATAGTATGTAGAAAGATAGTGATGCGTAGTAAGCCTGGGAAGGGCTTTAAGTGCCAAACAGAGGACTTCGTGTTGTATCTGAAACACAGGAGAGAGACACTGGGACCCTTTGAGCAGGGGGCTGACATACTGAAAATATACTTTAGGAATATCACTTGGCAGCTACATAGAGGATGAACTAAACAAGGGAGAGACTTGAGGCAGCAAGACCAATTAAGGAAGTTTTAGTAATAGTCAGAAAGCATTTATTAAGTACCTGCTATGGGCCATGCACTCTGCTAAGTGCTGAGAATTCAAAGAAAGACAGAAGACAACGTGAGAGATGAGGAGAGGCTGAACTAGGAAGTAGCCATGTGAATGGAGAGATATAGAGACAGATTTGAGACATGTTGTAAATGTAGAGATGACAAGACTTGCACGTGAGAGATGAGAGAGGATGAAAAATTGAGCATAATGCTGAGGTTAGGAACCTAAATGACTAAAACAGTGGTAATGCTGTCAACAGAAACAGGGAAATTATCAGGAGGATACATTTGGAAGAAAATATATTGAGTTGTTTTGAACATAGTGAGTTTCAAATATGTGGGTTATCCAATGGGAAATGCCCAATAGGAAGTTGGTGATCTATGGTGCTGAATATAATAATAATAATAACAATAATAATGATAATAGCTAATATTTATATAGCGCTTACTGTATGCCAGTTACTTGCAATTATTATCTCATTTGATCTCATAGCAACCCTGGGAAGTAAGTGCTATTATTGTCCCCATTTTACAGATGAGGAAAGGGAGGCAAATAGAGGTGATGTGACTTGTAAACGTCTGAGATTGGATTTAAACTCATGTGTTTGTGACTGCAGGCCCAGAGCTCTAAGATTTTGGAATCGTCTGAATAGAAATGATTATTGATCCCATGAGAATAGCCTAAGTCACTTAGGGAGATGGGGCCCAGGACAAAGCCTTGGAGTATACCCACAATTTGGGAGCAGCATAAGAATGATTCAGTAAATGAAACTGAGAAGAAGCTGTAATATTAAAAGGAAGAAAAAATAGTGTCAAGAAAACCCAAGGAAGAAAATATTTTCCAGAGAAGAGTATAATTAACTGTGTCCAATGATGCACAGAGGTCACAAAGGATGAGATCAACTTTTTGTATATGATATGTTACTGTATTAGTCACAAATAAACCAACATTGCTTATCAAACATCCTTTTCAAATATGTTGGAATGTTGCTTATATGAAAGTATCAAGTGCATCTTACTGAATATAAAGAAGACAGTGAAGAAAGCAAGAAAAAGAGAAAAAGCTACTAGGTCTGGCAATTTAGTGTCCGAAGCATGATTTGAGCTGAAGTCTTTCCCACCTCCAAGCCCAGTACTCTAGTTGCTACATCTTGCTGCTTCTATCTAATAAATACCACCCCTTATTTTAGTTTAAAAACATAACTGTGGTGAAATAACCCTGCCCAGTTATTAGGGAGAGGATGATATGCAGTTATTGTTGAGCAAAACAATGGAGGAAAGTCCTACAGCCTTCCCACTTCCTGATTCCATTCCCTTCTTCCTTAAGGGTCCTAAGTGTAGGAACCTAGAAAAGCCAGAGTAGGCAGCAATGCTGAAACAGCGGAGCCCACCAGCAAGCAAGGCTATCATTGAAAAAGTGAAGAGAGATTCCATGAGGCACCGGGAGGGGAGGCAGGGAAGAGGGTGAGGACAAGGCAGCTCCCCACACTCCAGGTTGGGCGATGGGGCTGGGAGGGTGCAATGCAGCATGACAAGAATAATTTATTAAATTTTTGCAAACTGTGTTATGTTAGTTATGTTATTTCTGTGCAGCATTAGTACCTACAACTGCATTGTAGCCGCAAGAATGGATTGGTTTGTATAGTACAGTAAATAAGTATTATTAAAGTTCCTAGACAATTTCTCTGATTTTAAAATTCTTAATTTCAGTACCAGGATCTTTAAAATCATCCGTGCTTCCATCTCACTCTTCTGCAGTATCACAGCATTCTGTGGGTGGTAAATCATCAGGTTTGCCAATGAATCATGGTCCACCAGATACCGCTGAAATAGTAAAAACATTACCTCAGAAATACAGGAGGAAACTCATGTCTCCAGAAGAAATTGAATTTATTCAAGTATGTTGTTTCCTTTTGTTACCTCATAAAAATATGGTAGCATCTTTTGAAACATTATATAACCTTTTATTTTATTTTTTCTCTTGCAGCGTGGAGGTCCGGAGTAATCACTGACAAGCCTGTTATTTATGATTGTCAGACATAGAGTGGCTATCTTCACAATAAAGGCCTTCAAAAACGACTAATGTTAAATTGTATATGAAACCAATTTAATATAAGATTCTGTATAAAATAAAGGTTAGAAAATGTAGATAGACATTTCTATATCCTAATTTGTTTCTAAGTAAGTTTGTCTATAAGCTAACCTGAGGGTTTGAGTCTTATGTAGGATTTTTTGTAATTTGGATAGCATCTTAACTTACTTTTGATTTTCAGTTACCTCTAATAGTTAACTGTTAAAAGCTCAGGTTTAATTTCTAGTAACCTATCAGATTTCCCATAATTTTTCATTGTTTTTTCCTTTAGTAATGGAAAGTACTGGTCAGGTAGAATCATTGTTTTAGGAGAGATACCAAAGCTTTTGAGATTAGATGAGAATCAGTGTTATCCTATTCTGAAGGATAAAATTCAGATAGCACTGATCACTGTGTTACTGAGAGTAGGATAATAATGAAAAATGTATTTTATTATAGTTATCAAACTTGTGTTTGTCAAAAACCATAAAATGACAAACGAAAAATGAAATGGAAGTAGGGGGATGTGTTTTAGAAGGTATTCTGTTTGTCTTAAGAGAAGAAAAAGTTCCTGCCCTTTGAGTTTGTTATGTTTTGATCATGTATTGTGAGCACAAATCGAATTAAATATTTATTTTCCCACTTGTCCCTGTCACATATTGGTTAGTGTCTTAAAGCACTGACATAACATTTCTACTTTAACAAAGTTTTATAATTGGCCATAATAAGGATTTTTTCCACTAAGGTCAAATGATGACAAATATCTCATTGTTGGTGATCTAGGCCCATAAAACTAAATAAATTCCATTCTACTATTTCAAACTTTGGTAAATCAGAATGGTAAAACTGTTTTGTATTGGTAAGTATTTTGAATTACTGGTTCCCATGTAATTTGTGAGCAATGAATAGTGAATTACTGCTGAGAGCAATTTGTTTTTGGGCATTGAGGTGGCACAGTGGATAGAGTGCTGGTCCTGGAGTCAGGAAGACTCATCCTCCTGAGTTCAAATGTGACCTCAAACACTTATTAGCTGTGTGACCCTGGGCAAATAAATCACTTAACCCTGTTTGCCTCAGTTTCCTCATTTGTACAATGAGCTAGAGAAGGGAATGACAAAACACTTCAGTATCTTTGCTAAGAACACCCCAAATGGGGTGACGAAGAGTCGGACACAACTGAAAATGACTGAACAAATTTGTCGTTTACCTGATAACTGAGAAAACAGTTCACTACTCTCTTTTCTATATACTGTATGTATATGGGAAACTGACTTTCAGAGCAGGCTGCTTCTACATTTTCATCATCTATTTTTATGTAAAATATATGGTCCAGGAGACAGGAAAAGGGTAAAGAATCACCTCTCTTTTATCTGTTCTGGATTGGATTGGAATAAAGCTATGGAACAGCAGTAGAAACTATACAGGCAGTGTCCAACTTATAAACTAGATCCCTTAAGTACAGATGGCTTCCCTGTGTTCATTTTGCAAAACAACAACAAAAACTTGATCTTTTTAGAGAATTTGGGTGTTCAGAAAGTGAAGTTGTGAAAAGCAGGAATAATTTAGGGAAACTGAACATAGGGACAGGCTCTAAGGAGGGCTTCCTGTCTATATGTTAAGGGAAATTGAATCATTTCACTGCCTGAAATTCATTTTGGTTAGCAGACATTCTTTTCAAAAAAGTCAGTGTCTCTGTGGGGGTTGAGTGATTCACATAACATGAATCAGCCAGCGTGCTTGCTTTCTAACACCTAGGACTAAAAAATGGGTGTTTTGAGCCTGAAATGCTTTGGGGATGGTGCTGTGAAGGCCTTAGAGCAGCAGTATCAGTGCAGTAAGTGTCAAAGAAGAGGAGTACAAAAATCGAGATGCTAAGATGCCATCTCAAGCTTTGTTTGTTTGGAAATTTTTCCTACTGGGAGGAAACTCCCTCTTGTTTCACATTCCTTTGTGCTCTCATGATCTTCGATTGCCTGTTACCCTTGTGCACCAGTGAAGCCAACCTTTGGGGTGCTGTGTGTTCGGGCAAATTGCAGCCTCTCTGCATGTCTCTTTATCTGTAAAATAGGTGGAAGGTATCTGTTGTGCCTGCTTCATGAGAAGGAGCACGATGGTGTGGGGAAGACAACAACTACCTTGGATTTGGAGTTAGGACAATGAAGCTCAACACTGCTCCAACACTTAATAGATGTATGACTATGGGGCCAATCAATTAGTTCCTCAGAACTTCAGTTTTCTTCATCTGTAAAAGGGAATGATCACACTTGTACTTCTTACCTCACAAAGGTGTGGGGAAAGGGCTCTGTAAATCTTAAAGCACTGGATAAATGTGCATTATAGGGTTATTGTAAGTACCAAGTGAGATGATGTTTGTAAGTACTTTGAAAACCATAAGGCACTATGTAAATGTTAAATTGATTTTATGATTACTATCCAGTATTCCAGTAGGTAGATATGACCTCATTAACTTGGTTTTTTTTTAGCAATGCAAATCGTAACTCATAAGTGGCTGCTTACCTTATGTAACCTGTCTTATCTCCCCATAAATCTAACATAGAGGATTCACCCAAAATTCTGGGGACCTTCCTCTAGATCTCTTGATATTACAAGGATAGTAAAGGGAATGCTTAGGTTGTCCATCAGTTATCTCTTCTTTCTACCGACTTATGTGACTAGCCCATCTTTTTTCAAACGGGCACAGATTTCTCTGATGCTCTCCTTTATGCTGTTTCTCCTGTGTCATTCTTGTTCATAATGTGCTGCAACCTGCTTATGCCCACCCACTCCTGTTATCTCTATTGCCCCCTGCCTGATCCCCAGTTCCAGTTCTTCAGAGTTTGTAGCATCTTATGAATCAAGCCACATAATTCCACTGAAGAATATTAGTTTTTAAAAGATGAGCCTTTTATTTCAGGAAGAATACTGAATTTATTAAGAACACTGCACATTTTCCCAAAGGCAGTCTAGCTCTCCCGTTCATTTCTGGATTTAGCACAGTATGTAGAGTATGGAGTAGAGTTGTGGTTCACTTCTCAAATAGTGACACACCTTTCCTATAATCCTTCCCCTCTAAGTACTTAATAAATATGTGATAGATTGCTTTCAGCTGGGGAAGGGGGATGACCTATACCTATAATGACTCTTCCCTCCACTTCTTTCCCCCTCCCCATCAGAATACCTTGTTTGACAGTATTATTTTTCATATAATCATAGATTTAGAGTTGGACACCTGTTCCAACCCCTTTTACACATGAGAAAACTGAAGCCTAGAGGGTAAGCCTTCTTGTAACCAATTCCTACATCTAGTATGTGGCAAAACTCGGTTTCAGTCCAGATTTTCTGACTTAGTTCTCTTTCTAGAACACAAATCTGCCTTAACTCTATTTTATGGAGGAAATAGGACTTGGAGTGGTTGAATGCAGTACTGGCCTATTGCATAGTTATCATGTTAGAGACAGAATTTGAACCCAGGTCTTCTGGTTTCTAATCTTAAACTTCCCCCACCACATCATGCAGTCTTCTAAGACTTCTACAAAGCTTAAAAACTTAAAAGTTTAAAAAATTTTCTTGAAATCCCAGATGTTAAGAGCACTGTACTCATGCCTCCCCCCTCCCCAACTATGTTGCCGTAACTCTGCTTAGATCAGGTGAGGACCATGCAAGTTATCTGGGACTTTCCAAATTACGTTTCATCTTCAGAAATGATTGGGACACATTATGCAAGTCAAGCACAAGCACAAAACACCCCAGTGTAGCCATTGGTTACATATAGTGTTCTCTACCAAAGCAAGCACCCCTAAGTCTAGGTCTTACTGACATTAACTCCTCTCCACTCCTTGCATTTTTTTTATCCTATAAGAATGGGGGGTGGGGGCAGCTAGGTGGCGCAGTGGATGGAGCACCGGCCCTGGATTCAGGAGGACCTGAGTTCAAATCCAGACTCAGACACATAACATTTACTAGCTGTGTGACCCTGGGCAAGTCACTTAACCCCATTGCCTAGCCAAAAAAAAAAAAAAAAGAATGGGGGTGGAAGGAATGCTTTTTACCAAGAGTGAGGCTTAGTAGATGGACTGCTGGACTTGGAATCAGGAAGACCAGAGTTCAAATCTTGTCTCATACTATTGGTATGACCCTGAGCAAATCACTTTTCTGAGCTTCAGTTTCCTCGTCTAGAAAATGAATGTAATACTACTTATAGTACCTTACATTGTGAATTTCAAATGTGTGTAAAGACTTTGTAAACTTTAATGCAATATTCTCCATCACCCCCATTCTCAATAATTTGCTTTGCTACCTTCCCTCTTCTTCACCTTCATTTCGGGGAACAGTCTTTAATTTCATCCAGTTCTCCTAGCTACATTATTCTCCTTCATACCTTATGCCCTCACCATCTCTCCTGCCTTTTAATGTTCTTGCCCCTTCATTTTGCTAGCTTTCTCCTTCCCTCCGGTCCCCCACTACTTCCACTTACCCGCCCCACCCCCACCCCCGCAGTTCTAAGTCAGCTCACCATCCCCAGGTCCTAACAATAAAAGAAGCTATGAAGATAAAGAGTAAACATGAAATCACAGGATTGTGGATTTGCGGTTGTAAGAAACTGCGAAGATCGGTCAACTAGCAAAACCCTAAAACCCTCTCTTTTCACACAACCGAGGCCCAAAGAAGTTAAGTCACTTGCCCTAGGTCCCATAGGTACAGCCAGCATTCAGACTTGTTTTACTTCAAATTTAGGACTCTTTACCTTTCGGCGAAAAATTGAATTATCTTTGCCCCTCTCTCAGACATAAGTCTAGTTCTTCCAGGCACCAAGAGATCAAGGGTGTGAATGCTGAGTTTGATACTTGGCTGGCTGTGTGGCCCCAAGCAACTGAACTCCTGAGTCTCGGTTTCGCCGTTATGTAAACTAGTGAAAAAAAAAAAAAGGTAAACTAGGAATGATCCTTGCACTGCCTGCCTCGCCAGGATGTGAGGAAACTGTTCTGTAAATCTTAAAGCGACATATAAACCTGAATTATTGCTGCGGACAAATTTTCGGCTCAACCAGTGTCTCCCCTTTACAGTTTAAGGGGAATGAGGCAGGGAAAGGCGGTCGGTCCAAAGAGCCTCGGGTCAAACCCTGGCGTCCCTCGTTACTATGACAACAGGAGTAAATGCGTGAGCCCTCAGGAAAGCGCCTCCTTCGTGCCAGGCCCCATGCTAGGAAGAGCAACAACGCGGACTATGGAGCTGAAGTCAAGGAAGGCTTGAAATCTACAAAGAAAGCCATGAGCCGTCCGCTGCTCTTACCCTCTCCCTCATGTCCCCACACTCCCCGCTTCCCGTTTTCGGCAGAAAACATCATCAACTCGCTCCAGAGCAGAAAAAATATTGACAGGTGGCCGCCATATTGGCTCTCCTGGGCAACCGCTTCTTGTCATCTTCACCTCCGACGATGGGCGGGGAGACAAAGCTGAGTCACTAGAGAAGCCACGGCGGTTGCTAGGGCCGGGGGAAGAGGGGATTCGCCAGACACACACCCGGAAGCAGTCTCTTCGTCACTTCCTGGAGGGGCGGGAGTAGCTGACGTCCAATAAGATGACGGTATCCACAATCGCTCCGCCCATCGCGGAAGTCGGGGGCTGAATGTTTAAGGATCTGGGAGAGAACAGAAGGACGGAAGTGACTGTTGGGCCGGCTGAGGTCGCTTTAAATTCCCTCCCCCCCTCCCCTTTCCCGGGCTCCGCGCGGGCGTCAATGGCGTTGGACGTGAAGTCGCGAGCGAAGCGCTACGAGAAGCTCGACTTCCTCGGGGAGGGACAGGTACCCGCGCTCGGGGCGCCCACAAACTGGGGGCCGGCTCGGGAGCCCCGCGCCTGGACGGGCCGGGAGCAGGTGGACCGCGGGCATCGGATGCTACCCGGACCGGGCCGCGGGCGAGGCCCCGTGTGTGGGGCCTCTGTCCCGGCGCCGGGCCCTGGCCGGGACATTCGCGATGCCTTCCCCTCCCCCCATCAGCGGTGCGTGGAGAAAATAACTTTCTGTTCTCTTCCCTTCTAGTTCGCCACGGTTTACAAAGCCAGGGACAAGAACACCGGTCAGATCGTCGCTATTAAAAAAGTGAGTTTTGCTCTCTCTTGTCTTCTTTCCACGCGAATAAGAATGAGGATTTTAAGGTGGAGGGGGAGCACAGGTCTTACACTCACTTGTTCCACACGCTGCCGTGGCTCCCCAGTGCCTCGGGAATCATATACGGAATCCTCAGTTGTTCATTTAAGGTCCCTCACAACCGGGCTTCAGGGGGCTTTTACTGTACAGGGTTAACCATTTATGCAGCGTTTGTACCAGCCAAGTGGCCTCGTTGCTGTTCCTCAGGCGTCTCCAGTTTCCCGTCCACCATACCTGGTATGCCTTTCATCCTTACGTTTTCTGCAAGCTCCTCAAGTGTCCTTTACTGATCCACACAGCCTGCTTTGGGCTGGTGCTTTCCCAGCCTTTCCGGTTTTTCTTCTTTCCTTCCTGTTTTTTTATACAAAGTATTTACTTTGTATCTCTTTTGTATGTTCTTAGTATAGTATATACTATACTATACAAAATATATATCCAACAAATACAAGGTAATGGGGTGGGGTTCAGAATTTGCAAGGAAGGTGCCCGTCTGGTTTGGTAGAAGTACCTTATCAGGCTTTCCTGTACTGATGAAATCACAGGTCCAGTAATATGTATTGAGAGGCAGTATGGTACAGTGGCTAGAGAGCTTTCCTGGCAATCTAGAAGTCCTGGATTCAAGTTCCCCCTCTGACATATATTGCTGATGTGACTCTGGGTGAGTTATTTAACTAGTGTAGTAGGTTAACACAGATAACTGTTGGTAAAGGGAGCTCCCAGTGAGGAAGCTACACATAGAAAATTATAGGTCTAGGTCTAGCTGTCTTCACATACACACATGCATATATGTATACGCACATATATGTGTATGTATATAAATACACATTTCATATGCATTTTTATGTGGACATATTGTTTCCTTTTCTTTGTTATCTTCAGCCTAGTAGTGTCTGGCCCAAAAGTGGACCTTTATTTTCATGCTTGTTGATTGAGATAGAGTTCTATTCCTATATTATTTATTTTCCTCTCCTATGTGAATCATTATTGTCAACAGAATTAGGATAACCTGGATTTAGGTGTCACCTCTGACACACATTACTGCCTGTGTGACTAAGGCAAATCATTTAGTGTCTCAATGTCTTGGGCAGTTGCATAGGTAAAGGGAGCTCCCTACATTGACAAAATTGTAAGTCCAATTGAAATCAGGTCATTAACCAAAACCCAGTTGAATCCCTTAGCTTACTAACAGGCTGTAGGCCTAGAACAATGATGTTTATATTTACTTAGGATGTAATGTTGGAACCTGTTTATGATCATACAAATTTTTTTAAAATTAAGCATAAAATCTCTTTACTCTTTACTTGATCCCTGAGCTGCAGATACTACCAAACACTAAGCATTCTGTTATCTTGTTCATTCCAGAGACCCCAGGACTTGGTTTATTTTCTGGTTTAGGTTTTATTTTTTACCCCCCCCCCAACATACCGTTTTGAGTCTCTTAAGTTTTGCATTTATAACTATCCTGTTTCTTCCTCCAAACAATTCACTACTTTGATCGTGGAGATGTAACGTATATAATTTGAAGTTCCTTTTCACTTTGTTTAGTTTTTATTATGACTTCAATAAAGTCAAGTCTTATTCAACAGACAAGAATAAGTTTGAATCTTATCTTAGTCCCTTGCTTTTTTTTTTTTTCAGGTACAGTGGAAAGGGCACAGAAGACCTAGGTTTGAATGATAGCTGTGCTATTGGGTACCTGTGTGACCTTGGGAAATTATTTACCTTTTTTGGGCTCTAGTTTCCTTATCTGTGAAGATAAGGAATTGGACTTTTGAGGACTTCTGGGGTCCTTCAAGCTTTAAACCTTCATTTCTGCCTTCCAGCCCTTTCTTTTCTTGTTAGCACTTATTCCCTGATAACCCTGGGTCTGAGAAAGTATGACTGTCCAGTTGGAGGGCTGCAAGCACCTTGAGAGGTTCTGTAGCCTACCTTTTGTCTTTAGGCAAGACCACATCCAAACCACCTTTCACTAGTAGCAATAGGGTATTCCCTACAGAATTATTTGTTTTATAGTTTAAAACTTTTAAGTTTCCTTCACCAATCTAAATTCCTCAGATTCCACTTTAAACTGTTGCCTCCCTTGTAAATGTCTCTTGGAAGGAGGCAGCATGGAAGCAGAAAACCTGAATTCTTGGTCTTCCCAAAGATAGCTGGAAGCCTTGGAGAAGTAACTTCCCTTCTCTCTGTGATTTTTTATGTACAAAATGAGACTGAACTAGGTGATTGCTGAGGCACATTCTGGGTTTTAAAACTTCACCACCATCCTTTCTAGTCACCCAGGCATTCAGTCTTGGAATCATAGTTGACCATTTACACCTTCTCTCAAACCTAGCCCCCTCACGCTCCCTCCACTCATTTGCCTGGGACTGTTAATTCTATTGCCACAATGTCTCTTGCATTTGTTGCCTTCTCTTCACCACCCTAGTTCTAGACCTCATCAACTTTCTCCTAAGTTATTAATAAAAAGGGCAAAAAGCCCTCCTAATTGGTTTCCCTCATTCCAGGCTTTCCCCTCTCCAACCTTCTTCCTTCTAGCTCCCGAAACAATCTTAAAGCAGACATCTGACCCTGTTGAAAAAGCTTTAGTCCAGGGCTGGGGAACCTTTGGCCTTGAAGCCACATGTGACCCTCTAGGTCCTCAAGTGAAGCCCTTTGACTGAATCCAAACTTCACAGAACAAATCCCCTTACTAAAAGGATTTGTTCTGTAAAACTTGGACTCAGTCAAAAAGCCACACCCAAGGACCTTTAAGGCCATAGGTTCCCCACGCCTGCTTTAGTCCCTCTCTTTTACCTCTAGGATAAAATTTAGACTCCTCAGTTTGGCATTTAAAGTCTGTCTTGGTGTGGCTCCAGTCACCTTCCTTGCCTTTTCTAAGCCAAACAGGGTTACTTGCAGTTCCCCAAGTTTAATTTTTTACTCCTATCTCAGTGCCTCTGGCTGGCCTGCACAGCTGGATTGCTCTCCATCCTAAACCGTACCTCTTAGAATCCCTAGCTTCTTTCAAGGGTCAACTTGCTACTGCCCACAAGAAGCTCTTCCTTCTCAGATTAGCTTTTATTTACTCTATATCCCTCAGAAGAGTGAATTCCTTGAGAATAGGAAGTATTGTTTTATGTCTATATTGGTGCCCCTTGCATAGGTCATCAAGCTCATTTAAATTAATTTTGGAGTTTTGATGATCTGCAATCTTAACTGTCTACTTGCCTGCTTATAGAAAATCAGGAGTTCAGCTCACAGACAGGGGTGTGCTAGAGCCAGAGAACAAATTGTTAAATTTTCACTGTGAGCATTTACATCTTGAAAATCAGTAAATACCACAAAGGGCCTGATGTATTATTTTGTTGATTGTCTAGACTTAAAAAGTGATGAATAAAATGTTAATGTAGATTAAAATTAAAAATGTGTCATGCGTACAAGTTGGTTGTGTGTGTGTGTGTGTTTTTCCAGAGACAGAGTTTTAAACATTTACCAGCACATCCCCAACATAGGATCTTAAGTTGAAATGAACTTTCTCAGGCCATCATCTGACCTTCTACCTGATGGAGAAATCTCTTTTCTACAAAATATTAGGCATCCATTATCTATTTGAACACTTGTAGCAAAGGGAACTTATTTGACAACTGGACTTTTTGTCAAGTCCTCTCTCTCTTCCCTTGTTACCCACATCCAGGTAGTGCAGTGGATAATGCAGGTCTTGAAGTCAGGAAGATTTGAGTTTGCATCTTTCATCTAATACTTATTAGCCATATGACCCTGGGCAATTAATTCTCTTAACTTCTCTTAGCCTCACTTTCCTCATCTTTAATATGAGGGTGTTGAATTCAGTATCCCCTGGGGTCCCTTCCAGTTCCAAATCTGTGATCTTATTATAAATCTGTCTTATTTAATTTTTGATAACTTATTATTGTATTTGAGCCAAAACGTGCCTCTTCACTTCTTTCAGCTGGTCCTCTTACAGCATTGTTTTCAGATCTTTCATCATCCTGGTTGCACTCTAGTTTGTGTCCTTCTTAAAATATGATACGTTTATACTGCATTTATTCCAGTGCGTCATATCTAGGGTAGAATAACCAGGGCTTTGTCCCAGGAAACTGAATTTGAATTTACAAGGTAACTTTCAGTACTTAGCATGGAAACGACTGAATTTAGCTACTCTTTAGGAAGGATAATTAGGTAAACAAGAATCTAGGTGGCGCAGTGGATAGAGTACTGGCCCTGGATTCAGGAGGACCTGAGTTCAAATCCAGACTCAGACACTTGCTAGCTGTGTGACCCTAGGCAAGTCACTTAACCCCGATTGCCTCAGTTTAAAAAAAACCCTAAAGAAAAAAAAGGTGAACAAGAATCTACCAAATGGAAAGATAGATAGAAGTCAAGATAAGCTCTAGGATTCTTCCTTTTATCTCTGTGGAGAAATTGCCTTGCCCTCCCCCAACCCATCTGAAGGTACGTCCCATTCCACTTGTCCCCATTACAGTTTGTAGTGGTTGCTTTGGACCCCAGAATTAGTTTTAGTGGTAAGTTGAATATTACTTCTATAAATTCAGCCTAAGATTGCATTAATTTTTTTTTTAGTAGCCTATTTATATTGAATTTGTCTATTTTTTACTTCAGATCTTGGAGGGTTTTTTCCCTCCCTTTTTTATTCCTTTTTCTCCCTTGTCCCCTTCCCTAATACACTTTTAGGTCTTTTTCAGGTGAACTCTTGAGTTAGGTGTCCCCTTTGGCCTTGTGAAATTTATTTGTTTTAACCCTAAATGAAGGTCTTTATTCCTGCTAAATTTCCTCTTCCGATGCTGCTTTGACATAATGCTTTGACATTGGAGTCAGCAAAATCAGGCTTAAAGTTTTGCCTTTAACACGTATTGTTTATGCCATGTAAGCTCTCAGGCCCCAGACAAGATTCTCATTTTAAAGAGCTGTTGATAAGGGTTCACCAGTAAATCAACAGGTCCAAACCAGAGCCCAGCCCCCTCCCCAAAAGTTTATCCTGTTGATTCAGCCTGTTATTCCAACCTAGCAGGCTTTTTGTGAGCCTCAGTTTCATTGTTTATTATAGTAATTCTCTGTCTCAGCTTTGTGTCACCTGCAAATTGAATAAGCATGTTTTCTTCATGTTCACATTAATTACATTAACAGATCTTTTGTTTGATGTGTCAGCTAAATTAGACTCCTGGCTATTCCCCAAATACAAGCTCTACTTTCTAACCTCTGATACTTAGTAATGATTAAATTCATTACAGATTTCATTTGAGTTTGTAGCTTGGTATAGTGAAAAAAGCAGTGTAATGGAGGCAAATTGGTATAGTCAAAAAAGAGTGTTGAGTTAAAAGATCTGGGTTCAATTTATGCTTAGTCATTTAGTAGCTGTGGAAACTTGAGCAAGTTGTTTAGTCTGTCTGGACATCAGTTTCCTCATCTGTATAATGCGGGATTGAACTAAATTGGGGTCTTAACCTAGTCTGTGAACTTTTTTTTTTAATTTTGGCAACAGTTTCAATATAATTCCTTTCTTTTATAGTCCTGTGTGTTTTGTGCATTTAAAAACATTATTCTAAGAAGGGATCCAAACACTCGAGTGTGTGGTGTCCGTGAGTCCATGACTCAGAGCAGCTTAAGAACCCCTGAACTAGATGATTTCTTAAGTTCCCTTTCAGCTTTAAATCTATGATCACCTGTTGCTTCCTTCGTTGGTTCTTCTTCTAGTCTGTTTTTCCACAAAGGTTTGTTTTGTTTTGTTTTTAAATTTTATGTCCACTCTCAAGTCCTCCTGTGAGCTCCTTTAACACTTTGTTAGAATTAATGGCACATGACATCAGACTCTCATTCTACCAGGTTGTTTGTAGTTTAATTATTTATTTATATAACATCCTTAAAGGCAGAGTATGTCTTTATTTCTTTATGTGTCACAATGCCCTGCACATGGGTGCTCCATTAATGTTTGAATGAAAGGACTAAGTAAAGAGTCATACAATATTCCACTCATTCATATATTAATAATCACTATTGATGTGGTCATTCAGGAATCTTAGATTTCACTATATAATCACCCATCCCACATATGCTCATTAATATGCACAAAAATGTAATAAGAGACTATGATATATGACTTGAAATCAGAATATATAATATCTATGACATTCCTGTGATTTACCAGTTTAGTTAACCCTATCAGAAGAACCAGTGAGGTTAATTGAGCAAGACATGTTCTTTTGGGGGGGGAGGGGGAGGTGTGTTTAGTTTTATTTAACTTTTTAAAATTAAATTTTTTTGAATTAACAAGCATTTATTTTTCCCTTTTACCTCCTACCCCCTTTGGAAAAACAAAAACAAAAACACTTATAACAAATATGTACATAGTCAAAACAGATCCCCATATTGGCCATGTCCAAAATCACCTGTCTTATTCTACATATTTAGTCCGTCACTTCTCAGTCAGGATGTGGGTAGCATGCACCATCATTGGGATCATTACATTGTTCAGAGTTCTTGTGTTTTTCAGAGTTGTTTTTACGGGGCAGCTAGGTAGCACAGTGGAGAGAGCACAGGCCCTGGATTCAGGAGGGCCTGCGTTCAAATGTGGCCTCAGACACATAGCACTTACTAGCAGTCTGACCCTGAGCAAGTCACTTAACCCCATTGCCTAACCAAAAAATAAACAAACAAAGTTGTTTTTACAATGTTGCTATAGAATAAATTGTTCTCTTGGTTTTCTTCACTCTATATCAGTTTATGCTAGTCTTTTCAGGCTTTTCTAAAACCATCTTTAGATTATTTCTTACAGCACAATAGGTTTCCATTACATTCATATGCCATAGTTTATCCATTTCCCAGTTGATGGGCATTGCTTTAGTTTCTAATTCTTTGCCTCTGTAAAAAGAGCTGCTATAAATATTTTGTACACAAGGGCCCATTCCTTCTTTCTTTGATTCCTTTGGGATAGAGGCCTAGTAAGTGATATCTCTGTGTCAAAAACTATGAATAACAGCCCAGTTCCAAATTACTTTCCAAAATGGTTGGACCAATTTACAGATCCACCAACAATACAATTAGTAGTCCCTTTTTTCTCAGGTGCTACAGCAGTTTTCGTTTTTCATTTTTAATGATCTTTTCCAATCTAATAGATATGAGAAGGAACATGAGAGTTGGCTTAATTTGATTTGGAGATTTATTTTCATAAGGTTTTTTTTGATAGCTTAGATTTCTTACTCTGAAAACTGTCTGTTCATATCTTTGGGGGAATGTTTTTTTTTTTTAATGTGAGGCAATTGGGGTTAAGTGACTTGCCCAGAGTCACACAGCTAGTGAGTGTTGTGTATCTGCTGCTGAATTTGAACTGAAGTCCTCCAGACTCCAGGGTCCCTGCACTATCCATTGCACCACCTAGCTGCCCTAGGGGGAATGGCTTTTGTTTTTATCCACTTAAATTACATTTTAGAAATGAGACACTTATCAGGGAAACTTGCTGTAAAGTTTTTTTCTTTCCCTTCTAATCTTAACTCCATTGGATTTGTTTGTACCAAAGCTTTTTAACTTTATATAATCAAAGTTGTCCATTTTGTCTTCTTTGATCTTCTCTATCCCTTGTTTAGGCTTGGGATCTCTTCTTCTGTCCATAGAGATAGTGATTACTTTTCTAAGTGCCTTTTAAGCTGTTTGCTGTTTAAGAGCTTTTGCTCTGAATATAGACATCTAGCTCTCTGGCTTGAACTTTGCAGAATCCACATTTCTCCCTCTTTTAAAAGTGGGGCAGTACTTACCTGTCTTTAGTCTTCTGGCCCTTTACCTGTTTCTCATGGTGGTTTTGTGATCATTGCTGTAGGTATTCTGGGGTATAATTTATCTGAATGTGTGTATCTTAAATGATGCGATTGGACTGGGTTGATTTTTAAAGTTCCTTCCATCTGTAGGACTCTGTGAGGTATAGTAGAGCTCTCGTGATCTCTACAAGTGGTACATGTTTGCAGCATGGTTAGGTTTTAGAAGTGTTTAAATCTATTGATTATGATGCTGAATTTTTGTGTACTTTTTTCTCCTTCAGATCAAACTTGGACATAGATCAGAAGCCAAAGATGGTAATTAACATATCTAAATGTTTACTGAATAAATAAATTAAGCTCTGTTCTTGCATAAAGGGAAGGCTCGAAGTGGTCAGTGAAGAATGTACATCATCAAATGAGTCCTTGCATACTGAGTATGGCGGAGAAAAAACCCACGAAGCTCCTCACCATGTGGGACCTTTGAGCTTTCCCAAAGTGCCTTCCTGGAACCCAGACCACTTTTATTTACTATCCTTTCAAGAGCATGTTTCCCTTGAGCATGGTTGCCTTCAAGCTGCATTTGTCTGCATGCCAGTTTGGTGTGATTTTTTTTTCTTTTAGTCAAGGAACAGAGGAACAAATAATAATAATTCTGTTCGGAGTTTAATGAAGCTTTCGTTTGGAGAGAAAAAGCAGTATACTCTCACCAGGCTGACTTTAAACATACAGCATAGGAGGGGTCGGAGGGCAAGGATTGGAGGAAAGGGCATGGTCAGCATTAATAACTGCATTAAAACTTGATATGCCCTTGAGGCAGGTAGAGGGGGGCAGGGTGAATGCCAGAAACAGATCACCCCCAGGAGGGACCTTTGAAGCTGCTCTTAGAGCCTTGCATTTGCCTTCTCCCTGTATTGTGATTCCACTTGGCATGACATTCTAGGGGTGAATGCTGACCCCTGGAAAAAAAATAATGGCTTGAAGCCATTGCTGGAGCAGACTCAACCTCATATACCATAGCAGGGTTCTGTGGACTCTCTGCAGAATCTCCACCAGGAATGCATGTGCTAGATGCTACCCCCTGGTGTAGCAGAGAAGAGGAAACTTAGTCTTTTCTTAATTTCTTTTTTTTCTCCCAGTTTTCCTTTTCATTCCTTTTTTAAACTTAATATCTCCAGAGATATCGTGAGTAGAACATATTCTCCTTTAGGGCAAAAACTGTTTTTTTTTTTGACTCTTGACCCCCAGTGCCTTGCACAGTGTTTTGAATTGAATTGGTTGCAGGTTATTACAGACTTAAGATAAGAGCTATGAAAAATTTATACCAGTGTATTAGACAATTAGTATGTTACACACAAGGAGTGTATAATCTAAGCTCCAATTCCATGCAGATGAAGCCTCTTAAATAAATGTATGTTTAACTTCCCTCATCTCACAGAGGCAAAGACTACTAAGACAGAATGTCATATGCATTTACCAGTCAGTTACAGTCACTGTTTGTTTTGTTTTTGCCTAATTGTTTTTCTTTGTTACAAGGGACGGTTCACTTTTGAGGGGGGTGGGAAGTATTTCTACAAATCACTGTGAAGTTAGTGTTTTCAAACTTTTTTAGATTTGATTCTGTCAGGTCTATGGGAAGGAGCTCCATAGTAAGAGCAGTAAGGTGGAGCGCTAACAGGAAGGAAGATAGGAAGGTATTGGGGGTGGAGAGCAAAGGAAGCTGTGACAGTTGTCTCAAATTTGAGGAGAGGGTTGAATAGGTAGAGAAGGGACATTTCCACCAAAGTAAATGGCCAGGATTTTTTTTTTAATCTCTCTGGAGCCATCCTGATAAAGTAATAGGTTGATGTTGCTTCTGTTTCTCTTTTAAGAGCTCTCCTTTGTTGTATTCTTCAACTCTCTTTTTCTTTGGAAATTCAGATAAATTGGTGTGCCATAATGGCTGACCACAATGTGGATTATAGGGGAGATGAGAGCATGGGTAGAAAAAGTTCTTGAACCCCTTTTCCACATGCCATGCTTTTCCAAGGTAATAAGGTATGACTGGCCGCTGATAAAGCAGGCTGCCTCAAAGAAGACCCCCATCCTATACCTCTTAATCTTGGATTTCTGCCCTGTACACTAAAGATGCTGAATCTCTTTTATTCACATAGCTCCCAGTTTTCAACAGAGGTCTTGATCTTATATGCAGTAAATTGAGTTAGTGCTATTGCTTCTTAACTTTTAATCATTTCCCTGTTTCTTAAGCTCACTTAATTGTAATTTTATGTAGGAGTAGAAAAGAAAAAGTAAGCGCAGCTTTTGGTCAGAATTTAAAGGGCCACATTGTGCTTATTGACCTTTTTTTAGAATGTGCTTCTTAGATGTCAAGATGCTTGTTTTTCCATGCTTAGAGGAAAGTATGGTATCTCAGAAATGTTGGTTCTCACTTTATTCTTTTGCAGGTATAAACAGAACAGCCTTGAGGGAAATAAAATTACTACAGGAACTAAGCCATCCAAATATTATTGGTGTGAGTACAGCATCACTGAAATTTGTTTGGACTTTGGGTGCCTGATCTTCTCTGAATGAATATGGGGAGGATTAGTAGACTCTTTGGGATGACAAGTTGCTGTCTTGTTGAAAAACATTAAAAGTTTTCTAGCCTATAAAATATTGTTCACTTTGTTGTTACAGGCTTCATTTCTTTTACTTCATAGTTAATAAATAACATTTTTCTGGCCCTGGGCAGGTGATTAAATGTTGGATTTGATGGGGGTTTTTTTGCTTTTGGGGGAGAGAGGGAGGAAGAGGGTGGGCACTATCCATTTTGATGCCACTAACTGTCTTCATAGCAATTTTCTACTTTGTACTAAAGTATTTTTTCAAGTTGGAGTCTAGGAACAAGTCAATTCGTGACTCCTATATGTAAGGGGAAATAGAAAGCATAAGAACTAGAGTTTAATAGCCTTGTTTATAAACTAGCTAATTAAATTATAAAAATTGAAACTGCCTAAATAATTCAATAAAATGAACTTATGTAAAAAGTTTTGAGTACTTAGTGATTAGCAGAACAAGTATGAACTGGCTCATAATCTATGTTCAGTGTTTAATTTCAAAAGTTTAGTGTCAGTATTAGTGTGTGTAGTATGTTGATAATTGCAGAGGAATAAAAACATCTTATTTTGTTATTTTCAAATAGCTCCTTGATGCTTTTGGGCACAAGTCGAATATTAGTCTTGTCTTTGACTTTATGGAAACTGATCTAGAGGTAAGAGTACCCCAGGACTCCTGGAGGAAATGTATTTGTCTGATGTCAAAAGGATGTATAAATGTTTGTGCTTATGAATATACTGATAGTCAGAGGGATACCAGTTTTAATCATAGCTTCACATATTCTAAATCTGTAACACACCCAGGTTATCCACATCTCATCCCTTACCTCCTTTATCATTAAGTCATCTTTATACAAGCCACAAAAACTACATAGAAAATTTTCATTCTGCCCTATTGATATGGTTTAATTTCCTTTTTTTTTTTTAAAGTGGGGTACAAATCTGACCTTTCACTAAAAACACAAAGCTTTTTTTCCCCTAAAATGATCCCTGTAAGAAGTAGTCACAGAAGCTTCATGACATTTGTATAGTATTTTATTTGAAGAAAAATAATTTCTATTATTAAAGTTTAAGCATGTATTATGAAATTATTTCATAGGTAATAATAAAGGATAATAGTCTTGTGTTGACACCTTCACATATCAAAGCCTACATGCTGATGACTCTTCAAGGATTAGAATATTTGCATCAACATTGGATTCTACATCGGGTAAGATATTAGCTGTCATGGCTAGTATGATTGCTGCTCAATGTGGTGGTCTTGTTATACATGGTAAGTTTAGGGACCAATAAGTAGAGACCAGCTTTGTCATTTGAGTGCTATTCCTATATTGCTGTATTAGACAACCATTCAAGGCTTAACCTTAGAGCTCCTAGTCATCCTTATTATTCGGTGCCTTCTGCTAATTCACATTTGAATTTCCAAGAGGTACAATGCAAAGGCCTCTTAACTCCTGAAAGTATAACTTGACAATGTAGAGGAATAGGGACTGAGTTTATGATTGCATTAGATTAGGGCACTCCTACTACCAATGTAAGTTAGCACCTTCTCTGCAACATATAGTCTTAGAAAATTGCCTACAGCACTGAGAGGTTGTTATTTTCTTAGGGTTACAATAGTTTACATTATGTGTCAAAGGCAGGTCTCGAGCCCAGGCCTTCTGGCTTTGAGGCCTGCTTTCCACTCGCCACTCCATGCTATGTTAACAATATGATACATGTAATTAATCACCTACTCAGTCAGTCAGCAACCATTTATTAAGTGTTTACTGTGTGTGGGCACCATGTTAAACACTGCAAATACGGATAGAAGCTGAAAAAAAGACTGTCCCTGCCCTGAAGGAGCTTATATTCTAATGGGGAAGACAACAAATAAAAGCGAGCTGAAAAGTTTGTGGGGAGGAGCAGAGGGGAAGGTACCCTTCAAAAAGGGGGCATGGTAGAGAAAGTCCTAGAGAGGAGTGAAGACAGGGTTGGCCTGGACAGCTTCCTTAAATTGGAGCTTCTGGAAGGAGCCAGCCAATCCTAGGGTGAGGCCCAGGAATGGAAAGCCCTAGAGGTGGGAAAAGTAGTCCAGGGGTGGAGTGAGCATCCAGGGTGAAGAGATTTCTTTTCATGGCTTGGTAGGCAAAGGTCTGTAGAGATGAGTCTGGAAGGTAGAAGCACTGTTCCAGGGGCCAGGGAGATAAAAAGCTTAGATTGAGACTGCCCTGCCCTTCTGGAGCATAACAATATAATATAGCAGCTCCGGTAGCACTTCTACACAATATTACATAAATCCTTTCGTTATAAAACAAAATACTTCTTTCTCACTTTCCCATTATCTGAGATGGGTGTCCTAAAGCCTAACTCTACCATGAGGAATTCCACCCAGTTGCACTTTTTTTTCCAGCTGACTGATGTTTCATACTCCATACTCTTTAAAATGGTAACATACTAGAGAACCTTACATTAGACTTCGTGCCGATCAATTAGAATCATAGCTGACGTTTATAAAGTACTCCAGAGTTCACAAAGCACTTTATACATGTTATCTTGTGTGATCCTCACAACCACTCTGTGAGGTATGTAGTACAAATATCATTCCCATTTTATCATTGTGAAAAAACTGAAGTTGAGAAGGGCCATTTGCCTGAGTTCTTACAGTTAGTAAGTAGCAGGTCTTCTGGACTTTGCCCAAGTCTGACCCTCTTTCCGCTATACTTGAGCCGCCTCCCATTTCAGATAGTCTTAAATCAATGTAAGTTTTTGTGAAAGCATTTGCTGATATACATCAGAGTGTTAGAGGTCTCATAGGAATCACAAAACATTGAAGTGTGTTGGTTAGCTCAACAACCTGGGATGGCTAGGTGGTACAAAAGATAGAACTCTGGCCTGGAGTCAGGAAGACCTGAGTTCAAATCTGGCTTCGGGCACTTACTAGTTATTTGACCTTGGCAAGTCACTTAATCGTTTGCCTCAGTTACTTCATCTGTAAAATGAGCTGGAAAAGGAAATGGCAAACCGGTCCAGTATATTTATCAAGAAAACCCCACATGGCGTCATGAAGAGTCAGACACCATTGAAACAGAACAACAAACAGCATGGGATAATAATTAAGGAATGCTATGACTTTCCAGGTTTCAATTAAAGAAAATTATGAACAGATCTTCACTGTATATGGAAAGACCAGTCTAATTAGTGCAACTTCTAAAATATCTTTAAAGAAATCATCCTTTTACTTTCAGAGACATCAGACCTAGAAAAACTGTTGTTACTCTAGTAGAGATCCTTTGGTTTTTGTTTTGAATGAGTATTAATAAAGATTTTTAATTAGCAAGCTAATGACATATAAATCTGCTTCTCAAGTATTTGAGAGCCTCAGTTTGTTGTATTACACATCTTAAAACTTTTCCTTACTGTTGTTTTAATAGTATTGAACTACTTAGTATTTTAGCACAGATACTAAAGTGTTAGCATGCTTCTTTTCCAAAGTATCTCAATACTGGAATTTATACAGTCCATACAGATCTTACTTTTAATGACAAATGTGTTTACTTAATATGGAAGTGTATCATAATATTTTGGCTCTTTTAAAAGTCAAGGTAAGCCAGCTGAATTTATTGTTATAAAATTTAATTTTCCCTCCCTCTTTTAATAGGATCTAAAACCAAACAATTTGCTGTTGGATGAAAATGGAGTTTTAAAATTGGCAGATTTTGGCCTAGCTAAGTCATTTGGGAGTCCCAATAGAACATATACACATCAAGTTGTTACTAGGTAAGTTAAAATAAGTGGGTGTGGGGTTAAAAATTGGTTCCTGATTCATTGTGGAGGCTGATAATGTTCCTGGTGATTTAAGGAAAGCTGTGAGAATTATTTTTCTGTTCCTTACCCATCTCTTGCTAATATATTTAGCAGAATTCTAAAGAGTAGTCATTATTTTTTGGTTATCTGGGAATATCATATGCCGGAGAAGAGAGAAGGAAAAAAGTGATAATGGTACTTAGAGCTGCTGCTGAGAGATAAAAGGAAGTCTGGAATATCAGGAATGGGTGTTAACCACATAATATATGGTAATAGTAAAGGGGGATTGTCCCCTGACTTGTGATATGGGTCTTTTGAGAAGGGACAGAAGAGGCGCAGGGAAGGGCTGTATGCCATGAGGGGGCAGGTGGAAGAGTTCTGTGTGGCCACTGGCAACTTGGCTTTGGGTAATGAGTGTATGGTACACCCTGCTTCTCTGACTGAACCAGGTCGTGTGAGACAAAAAAAATACAGAAAATGTGAAACAATTGATCTACACACACTGATGCAGAGGAGGAAGCCCGTAATTGGACTAAAGTGGAGGCTAACCCAGTTTTTGCTGTTTGGGATAACTACGACATGAAGGCAGCTGCTCCTCTTCTTTCAAATACCTGGGGAGTTATCAGAGGTGTTGCTATTACATGCTGTCAGAAAATATAAGTGCTCATTCTTATAGTGGGTTAGTCACCTTCAAAATTTCTGCCCAGAGCCTGTTGCTGGAACCTGAGCTTAAAAACTATCTTGTAGGGGAATGATGGCAAATTGATAGAAACAGGGGCCACTGATTGGGACATAAAAACCCCTGCACGCCACATATTATTGACTTAGCTTTAAAATGTGATACTATCAATCTTTTATTATATTTTTATTTATTTTGTTAACTATTTCCCAGTTACATTTTAGTCTGATTTGGAATGCACGCAGAAGTGTTAGGAGCAGTATGTTTGACACCTGTGATGTAGAGAATTGGGCTGGTGCTTCAGGACTCTTTTTAAAATCATGTCTGGTTGTCATGGCTGTGTATCTGCTTTGCTTTACATACATAATTTAAAACTCTAAATCTTTCATGTAAGTGAACCTTGCCATGAAGAATACTGAAGATCATTTAGCTTGTAATGGCAGTTTTTCTGCCTGTACAAAATCTGTTATGTAGCTTTCAAAGTTCTCTCCCTTAGTTTTGCCTTTATACTCCTCTGCAGATCTAGTCAGTCTCCCATATAATAAGCTGTTACTTTGAGATTTTAATTGTCCTACTCCATTAGTGGTCTTACCAGAGCTAGTGATGTATTCAACACAGTCATATAAGAGGAACTTAAAAGGTTTTTCTTCTTGTCATTTTCAGTCGTGTCTGACTCTCTGTGACCCCATTTGCTGTTTTCTTGGCAAAAATACTGGAATGGTTTGCCATTTCCTTCTCCAGCTCATTTTCCAGATGAGGAAACTGAGGCCAACAGGGTAAAGTGATTTGCCCAGGGTCACACAGCCAGGACATGTCTGAGGCAGGAGTTGAACTCAGGAAGATGAGTCTTTCTGATTCCAGGCCCAGCATTCTATGCACTATGGTGCCACCTAGTGCCCAACTCAAAGGTAGTTTTTACTATACCTAGACTTGTAAGCAATGGAAAATGAAGTTTTTGATAGCAGTTACGGGAGAAAAAAAATATAAACTGAGGGAATAAATCTTTTTTAATGTTTTGTTTCTCCTTTTTAATATATCAGAACCAAAAATGATAAAATAGAAGAGTAAAACATTTTTATTTCTATTTTATTTTTAATTATTCATTGATATCATTTTTATGTCACCTACATTTCCCAGGGCATTCCTACTAGAGAGCCATCCCTTATAACAAAGAATAAAAGAGTAGGGAATAAAAGTTCAGCAAAACTAACCAACATGTTAAAAAACTGCAACATTAGATGTTAGCAGCTAGATGGCACAGTGGATATAGCATGCTAGGTCTGCAGTCAACCTGAGTTCAAATTTGGCCTCTTACACTTATTGGCTGTGTGACTCTGGGTAAGTCAATTAACCCCTGTTTGCCTCAGTTCCTCTGCTGTAAAATGGGGATAATAATAGCTCCAGGGTTGTTGTGAGGATCAAATGAAATAATAGTTGTAAAGTGCTGAGCATAGGGCCTTGTGTGTAGTAGGCGTTATGTAAATGCTAACTTATTATTTTATGCCACACCCATAGCCTCTGTAAAGAAGCAAGGTGAAATGCCTTCTTATAGCTCTTCTTTGGGGCCTAGGTTGGTCATTAGAATTTTCCACCATTCTGTTGCAGTCATTTTGTGGTTCTCTTCATTTACAAAGTTGTAATTTTTGTGTATATTCTTTTTCTGATTCTGTTTATTTTACTAAGAATAAGTTCACATGTCTTCCCCTACTTCTCTGTTTTCATCATAGTCATTTTTTCAGCGCAATGAGATTCGATTACATTCATGTACCAGACTTTGTTTAGCCATTCTCCAATCAATAGACATCTACTTGGTTTCTAGTTTTTTACTGCTATAAAAAATGCTGCTATAAATATTTCTCTGTATGTAGAAGCATCTCTTTTTTGTCCTTGTTCTCTTTTGAATAGATGCATAATAGTTGGTAAATTATTCTTAATCTAATTAATGCTGATTATTCATTTTCAAAGTGCCTTATGTCTGTTGGCAAGATTCTAATTTAGTGTTTGTTTGCATTCTGAAGTTTTTTTCTTCAAAATTTGTCTGAAGACAGTAATTGAATTGTTGTTCCCATTGAGTAAGCCTCGCCTATTTAAAAAGTGGAGTCAAAAAAGGAGGATTTTGGGGTCAGCTAGGTGGTGCAGTGGATAGAGCACTGGCCCTGGATTCAGGAGGACCTGAGTTCAAATCTGGCCTCAGACACATAACACTAGCTGTGTGACCCTGTGTAAGTCACTTAACCCCATTGCCTAGCCAAAAAAAAAAGTTTAAAAAAAAAAGGATTTGGAAGTGTGATATAGTTCCTTGAAGAGCTGGGAATATTGTTAAGATGGCCTATTAGACAATCTCTTGTCAAAGAAAACTAATGAGGATAAGACACCCTTCGATAACACTGATTTCTGCCTTTCTTGTTAACTTCTTTGTCTATACATTCTTACAGCTTACAATTAGTGTATCTTCTTTATCTTAAGTATAATCAACACGTAAAATTTCTAAATTGCGCAGTCAAACCAGAAAATCATTTCATTAGAGATGACAGGGTGGCTCCCGTTGTCCTGGACATCTGTCATACCCCCCAAAAAGGAAGAGAGGAGCAAATGGTGTGGTGGAAAGAGAGCTTACACAGACGTCACAAATTCTGGGCTTTAGCTTTAACCCTGACATTGATTAGTTGCTTAATCTTGGGCATCGTGGAGGAGTAAGTTGGGTTAAGACAAAGTAAAGTGTCTTCTAGCTCTGTCACTATGATCCAGAATTCTAGCTGGTACAACAAAATGAGCCCTAGGACAGCTCAGCAAGACCTGAGTTCAAATGTGGACTTAGACACTAGCTGTGTGACTTGGGTAAGTCACTTAGCCTTTTGTCTTTCTCTATTTCCTCCTCTGTAAAATGAAGATAATGATAGCACCAATTTCTCAGTGTTGTTATATCAATGATATAATATTTGTAAAATACTTTGTAGATCATAAAACACTATTAAGATTATGATTAACTCTAAGCATGGAATCAGAGCATTTCCCTAGTAAGGGAATTATTACTAGAGTTGCAGAAAGGGGTGATTTTTGAGAGTAAGTTTCCAGAATTGGGGAAATACTTCAGTTTTCATGACTCTCCTGTTGGACAAAAATGCCCAGCATGCTATAGAACTGTCCCTTGCTCTTCCTTCTCCCCACTCTGCAGCCTTTTGTAACCCTTGGGCATGCATTGCTGATTTTACAATAGACATAAATGATGAAGTATTATATATTTTATAGAAATTTCCTTTATGACCTACTTTCTGGAAATGCATCTCTCCTGTAAAGCAATTGTAGCTTGTGCTGTTATGATGTAACCAGGAATATCAGCTGTAAATTTTTCTTTGGTAGATTATTTAGTATTTTTATTAAGAAAGCAATATATTTCTAATTTATTAAGAAAGCAGTATATTTCTAATTTTTTCTTCAGATGGTATCGAGCCCCTGAGCTACTCTTTGGAGCTAGAATGTATGGTGTAGGGGTCGACATGTGGGCTGTTGGCTGTATATTAGCAGAGTTGCTTCTGAGGGTAAGCCTTGAATTTACACACAAACTTTACTGTATTGTGTCCACCTTTCCTTGATATTAATGTGATGAGCATTTTTTTATTGTGACCAGAAATGTAGAAATTTTTCCTCTTAAAAAAAAGAAATGCCTAACTCAAAGGATTGATAAGCTAAGAAATGCTTTGTAGTTGTGTAATTTGAGTTTAACCCCCAAGACTATTTATTTAGTTTTTATTATATGCAGCTATTCTGCAGAACAGCCACATATAGTAAATGTTGGATGTCTGATTCAGTGTTGACTAAATGTGTATTTTTAACACATAGAGACACATACACACAAACTATTCATCCTTTGAGGCTAGCTCAAGTCCCATCCCTTCCACAGAAAGAATCCTTCCTGGTTTATCAAGTCTACACTGGTTTTTCATATCCTGCCCTAAACCCCAACAGCGGTTGCTCACTGTATCATTCTTAATCATATCTGTAATGCATCAAGGATTTGGTTCTTAACCTGTCTGTGACTTGGTCTTGGAATTAGTATCAGAGGTAGGAATTCAGGTTCATAATTCTTTCTATAATAATGCTGTGCCATGATGTCTCTGTATCATCTGTATTATATGTGTGTGTGTATATACATATAATATATAATTTACTGGTTTCTCCCACCATTATTCTTAATTAGTGTTATTTCATAGTAGTTGTCTCCTTAGTTTTTTCTCTGTCAATAACAGTCACAAGTTTCAGCTTCATAATTAGGGTAACCCTTACCTTTTCGTACTTTGGAAGCTATTACATTAAAAAGAAAGAGCTCACTTTAATTTCAGTGTAAAAGAATTTAGTCTGATCATCTAATATAAAAATTTGAGGTTTTGATGAACTTTACATCTGAAATGGTCTTGAGATTCATTTATGTAATGACGTTTAGCACAGGGAATCATCTCATCTCCTCTTCTTTATTTTGAGGCCTACAGGTCTAGTCACTTGGTATTCAGTGGACGCTAATAAGTGGAATGAGCTGGGTTTTGAGCACAGGACATTTGTTTCTAAATCCAGGACCTGTCCACTAGACTATACTTGGTTAGACTGGAATAGCTCACTGATTATGCTGATCCAGTTAACAATTTAGGCTTAGGGTAATAATTTTCAGGAAAAAGTTTCAAACATTTTAGGAACTTACTGGAGTTGGGTACCTTTGGGGAATATGTTATGAATTCTTTTTATAGAAGTTACTCTTGTCTCTTTCATTTCTTACAGGTTCCTTTTTTGCCAGGAGATTCTGACCTTGATCAACTAACAAGAATATTTGAAACTTTAGGAACACCAACAGAAGAGCAGTGGCCTGTAAGTCTTCCCACATTCTCTTCTCTTTGACTTTGCTGTCTTTGTTGATGTTGTCACGGGTTTGCATGCTGGTGTCAGATGAATTTTACTGCAGGTATCTAGTTTTTTCGCTACTACAAATAAATATGGCACTGATAAAAGCATTTAATCGATCGTATTCCTTCTAGTTCTGGGAATGCCAAGGCTACTGCAAATTTTATAAGGATTTTTTTTAATGGAGCCATTTAGATGTCCCAGTAAAGTGCAGTAAAATCATTGATCAGCATCTGAAAAAAACAAACATGCCCTGCAGGAATCACCTGTGGATTTTTCATATGAAGCACACAGCTTAAAGAGATTTAAAGCATATGTCACGTTTTAGGAATAGTCCCTCCAAAGTGGTTCAGTGGACTTTACTCAGATCCACAGATTAAATAATAATTCCTTTAATTTTGGCCCTTTTTAAACAACCATCATTAACAGGTTAAAATTATTGCATTCCTAGAATGTTTAGGCCCTCTAGAAATCTCTTTTCTCTAGATTTCTGCTTCTATTTTGGACCTACTTTTGTATTTTTCTCCTTGTTACCTAAGTGACTCACTGAATATCGCCTTTCAGAATACCTTTTTAGGGTTTTTTTGTTTTGGCTAGGCAATGGGGTTAAATGACTTTGCCCAGGGTCACACAGCTAAGCCGTATTTCAAGCCGTATTTCCTCCCTGTACTGCCTTCAATTCTGGGCAAATTGCTTCACCTCTCAGTGTATTGGGTAGTTCTTTAAGACTTGAAGTTGGCAGAGAAGTTCTTTAAGACTAAGTTGCCAGCCTCTTCCATTTCCCTTCCTTGAAAGAAATATTCACAGTGACTAAACATTTCAGGAAAATGTGCAGTAGAGGGAGGAGTGTGTATCTTAGGGTAAATCTGTTTATTTCCTAGTCCCCACTATGATCCTTATTATGGAAGGAAAAGCATTGAAAGCATAAATTAGACTGAGAGTACACTTTTCTCTAAGTGGTCAGCAGCATCTTGATATTGTAAGTATGTTCTTCACCTTAAATTTATTAGAGGGTTATAATAATATAATAACAGAATAAGAAATTCAACAAACATATGCTATGTGTCAGGTGCTAGAAGTGATTAAAGTGCTATTAAATCTTTTGTGATTTCATATATTATACTGTTTCCCTAAATCTTTTTCTAACATTGGGGGTAAGGTAGGGACTTCTTCTAAACTTCACTTTGCCTAGACACATAGCTCCCCTTTTCTCCCTACCTAAACAGAATTAATCTCTGCCTTTTTTTGTATAAAATGTAAATTCTGTCTATAATCAGTAATCCCTCATCTGTATTTAATAAATCTAACTATCATTGCTTTTTCCTGTAAACTATAAGGTCTAGAGTACAGAAACTATATTTGTTTGATTTGAATATCTAACATATTGCCATAAACAGATGGGTTCTAAAATATTTTTGGTCCCTTCTTCTTTTCCCATTCCTTTCTTGTGTATCTCCAGTTCCTTTATTTTTGCTCTAGACCTGTGATTTTATTAGTATAGAGGATTCCATATTTATGCACCTGCCTCTATGATATGCCCATCAGCAACTTCTTTACAGCTTAGGATCTTACAAACTTGCTAGGATGCTGAGAGATGTGGCTTGTCCATGTTAACAAAGACAGTATGTATCAAAGACAGGATTTGAATCCAGATCTTTTTAACTTCAGGGACAGATCCCTACACACTGGACCAGGCAGCCTCTTTGTGTCTTATTAAATATTTAGAGTGCAGGGTCAGCTAGGTGGTGCAGTGGATAGAGCATTGGCCCTGGAGGACCTGAGCTCAAATGCGGCCTCAGACACATAACACTTACTAGCTGTGTGACCTTGGGCAGGTCACTTAACCCCATTGCCTAGCCAAAAAAAAATATTTAGAGTGCAGTTTTTAAAAATTGGAAGCAAATTATTTGCTCAGAGATTAGGAAATGTCTTAACATTGTGGAATATGGATGTAATGGAATATTGTTGTATTACAAGGAATGAGGACTAGGAAGAGCTCAGAGAAACGTGGAGAGACTTGTGTGAAATGTTTCAGGACAGAAAAAGCAGAGCCAGATTACACAGTATGTCTGCCAGTGCAGAAGAAAGTTAGCATGGAGAGGCCCAGCAGAAAGCTCTGGTCAGACACAGATCAATATTGACACTCAGTGTACCATCAATTATAGACTGTTTTTTGAGGGGTGTACTTTGTAGGTAGATTGATTGTATGTTTGCTGGGAGGTATCTTTTGTGTTGAATTGGGGTTTTTTAATGCATTGTTTTTCCTGTCCCTAACTTTGATAATTTTTACCATCTCTACAGGGTATGTGTAGTCTTCCAGATTATGTGACATTTAAGAGTTTCCCTGGAATCCCCTTACAGCATATCTTCAGTGCTGCAGGAGATGACTTACTCGACCTCATACAAGGCTTATTCACATTTAATCCTTGTACTCGGCTCACGGCTACTCAGGTATTTTAACATATCCTTTAACGAACATGTTAAGTAATCTGAAGACAATCTTAAGAGAATTGCATGTAATAAAAATGTTGAGGAAATGGTTTCTTTAATGTAATGGTTGTTGCCATCACACCTTGAAAGTAAAGTTGCCAGTTGCAGTATCCCAGTAATATTTTTAAATTTCTATTTTGGAACTATAGAAAATAAGAAACTGGGTTTCGTTTATGTATCTTTTGTGACCTAAATTAAAGCAGAATGCTTGAAACAGGTTTCAACTAGTGTGTTTTATAACTGGGTGGAGACAAGAAGGAGCTTGCTTTACTGAGATTGCTACATAGTGTAGAGCAAGTTTTATTTGTCCATAGAATAGCCATGGCTTGGCAAACAATCTATTTTAGAGGTCAGTAACTGTGATTGTAATCCAGGACCTCTCTGTTGGGCACTAGAATTTTTAGACCATGGTTGCCAAGAATCAATTAATTAATTAATTAATTGCCAGGAAAAATTAATTGAATTAATACCAGGAAAAAACCATTTAAATTGGAGGTTGTATTCTTTCAAGTATGTATCTGTGTGAAAAGTGTGACTTTTCATTTAGGTTTGGACCTAGAGTATAAAAAACATGGAGAAGTAGATAAAAAGCACTAGGGCTGGGTTCTAGTCTAAGCCCTGACACCATTTAGCTGAGAGACCCTTAGACAAGTTTAGCCTCAGTTTCTTCATGTGAAATGGAAGAAGTTGGACTAAACCTTAAAGGTTTCTTCCAGTTTTGTGGTCCTGTCCTAATTAAAATGATGATTATTTGCAATTTCTGTGTAATAATATATTCAATTTTTAGCACCTTTTGAAACTCTGGATTTTGAAGATTCATTTTTTGAAATACTCAGAATTGCACTAAAAATACAAATGGAGGTATCGTGGTAGCAAGGCTATTTCAGGGCACAGATAATACTTTAAAAGCCGGTGCTAAACACAAAACAAAGTAAGTAGAGCCAGGAAAACAACATACACACTTACTACAACAAAGAGCAACCAGAAAAAAAAATCAAAAGTGACTGTTGCAAAATTATAAAGAACAAGCAGGACTTGAAAGAAGAGATATGAAAAGACATTCCCAACCCCTCCCCTTTGTCCACAAGTAATGTAGATTGTACATTTTTCAGGCTTTTTAAGCATATTGATCAGTTATACTGATTTTTTTCCCTCTTATTTTCTTTTTAAAAATATCATTTGTTATATGGGGTGGGTCTCTGAGAGAGGAAGAAACTGGTGATGCAAAAGACATCCATAAAATTTTTTTTTAATGGGAATTTTGTTGTTCAGTCATTTTTAATCATATGCAACTCTTTATGACCCCATTTGGGGTTTTCTTGGGAAAGATACTAGAGTAGTTTGCTGTTTCCTTCTCTAATTCATTTTATAGATGAGGAAACTGAGGCAAACAGGATTAAGTGACTTGCTCAGGGTCACACAGCTAGTGTCTAAGGCTGAATTTGAACTCGGGTCTTCCTGACTCCAGGAGAGGTGCTCTATCTACTGTGACACCTACCTGCCCTAAAATGAAAATACACACAAACTTAAAGGAATTAATATTTAAAAGCCTTGAGTGCTTTCCTGACTACCTATTTAAACTACAGTATGCCTGTTCAAATAAGATTAATTACTTTTTTCTATTTGAATTATAATTAATCCTTTAATCTTCAAATAAAACATCTAAAAATTTTAAAATAAAAGGCAATACCAAATCTGTACTTTTCCAGATACTGGTAGATATATCAGGAGCTACTTAAAGGGCACTCATTTTTTTCTGGAATTCTCCACACTTTCATTGGACTGTATTCCCTAAAGTGATAGAACTGAAATATACAAAATATTTAAACCTGGATGTAAAATACAATAGCATACACTTTTCTGAGAAATTATGCCAGGTTCCTCTGGTGGCACAGTTTGTGTTTAGTGCTTTGTAACTGTAAGGAGCTATAAAATAAGAACATTTTCACCTTCTGTTATTAATGGCATTAGCTAAACTTGGGCTAAGTTTTTAGTTTGGGATTTTCTTATACAACTTGCATTTTTAGGGCTACTACATAAAATTTTTACATCCCGATTAGATATACTTGGTCCTCACTGAAAAAACAAACATGGAATTCTGTGATGTTACTTAAGCATATGATTGTTCAGGCTAGAGAAAAGAGGGAATGTAATGAAAAGTTTGATTGCTCATTTAAAACAACCTTGGTGCTTTTGGCTTTTTTTTTTTAAGGCATTGAAAACTAAGTATTTTAGTAACCGACCAGGCCCTACTCCTGGCTGCCATCTGCCGAGACCAAACTGCTCTACGGAGGCCCTGAAGGAGCAGCCACACTCAGCCATGGCAGCAAAACGGAAACGCACAGATGCCTTGGAGCAAGGTAGAAACCCTGGGGTTCTTAAGAAAGAAACTGAACTCAGTAGACTAGCTACGAATATGAAAAACAATAATAGTTAGCATTTATAGAGTGCTTTGAGGTTTAAGCACTTTACAACTACTATCTCATTTGATCCTCACAACAACCCTGGGAGATCGGTGCTATTATTATCCCCATTTTACAACTGAGGAAACTGAGGCAAAAAGAAGTTAAGTGACTTGCCTAGGGTCACATAACTAGTGTCTGAGGCCCGATTTGAACGCACTCATTCTGATTCAGTGTTCTAACTGTATCGCTTAGTTGGTAATTAATGTTAGTTACTTTGTTTAAGAAACACAAATATCCCAAAATTTTGTGAAATGCATCTTACTTAAGTACAGCATTTTGAAATCACCAGTGAATAGATTTAATCTGTAGAATTTTTTATTCTGCAGTGTTGAGTGTTTTGTTGAGGTTTGAACTTTAATAAAACAGTTTATCTTTAATAAACATCCCCCTTAATCTTAATCTCTTATAATAAATAAATGTGACGTGCTAAGGATGTTACAAATATTAGTTCATTTGATCCTCACAACCCTGAGAAGTAGGTGATCTTATTATCCCCATTTTACAGTTGAGGAAACTGAGGCAGACAAAGGTTAAGTGACTTGCCCAGGGTCAGACAGCTAATAAGTGTCTGACACTAGATGTGTGAGTCTTCTTGATTCCAGGCCCAGCCTTCTATCCACTGTACCACCTACCTGCCTCCAGTGTTTATGAAGACATTTGGCTTCTCTGCTGGTGTTCATTATTATGCTAATTAATATACATTAGTGAAATATAGCAGAAATAAAGTTGGAAATAAGATATAATTTTAACTGTTTTTCAGTTAATATTTTATTGGTGCCTTTTGTTTTTATATCAGTCATTTCTAGATATATACCTTGGTCCACTCCCAATCACTCTTTACTTCTAATTTAACTTTTTATGGACTTAAATTATACAAGTTGAGCAGGACTTGTCGTTATAGCTTTACATACTTTCATTGAAACCACTCATCATTTACTTAGAAGATAGCCTGCATTTCACACACTAAATTGACAGAAAATCTTTTTTTTTCCTTAAATTCCTATTAGTGTAATTAGTGCTGAGTAAGTGATCTTAGAGAATCTTAATATGGGGGAGTAATAGAACTTAGTAACCAGTAAAATTTTTCCATTTCTTCCTAGGAGGATTACCAAAAAAGCTGATTTTTTAATTACTGTGAGTACTGGACAGAATTATGCTGATGAAAATAGGAAAAAAAAGGAATAATGGGAAAATACTGAACATTAAATGAATGTTATAAAAAGTGAATTTGTAAATATGCTACACATGTAAAATATGTAAAACTTTTGGTGGAATAAAATGCTTTTGTAAAAAATTCTGGTTCCTTAAATTAGTTATTCCATAACTGATTATGCTTTGATATTTTGGCTTACATTTTAAGGTACTAGTGCTCTAACCCTACAGCTGGTTCACTTACTGATCCTTTGCTTCTCCTCCCTTGCCATTGCATTTTGACCACTCCATTATTGATTCATACTCCTAACCAGTCAAAAGGAAAAAGTGGATCCCAGCTTGTTGTTGATTTTGACTTTTGTCTAGAATGACCATGATGACTGCATCTGAAGAGCTGGAAATGGATCCTATAGATCACCAACAAATAGATATGAGAGAGAGAGAGAGAGAAAGAGAGAGAGTGAGCATGTGTGTTTGTGTATGTGTTGGGGGAGGGGGTGATGATCAATGCTACTTACAATTCTTCCTAAAGAAAGTGAACTGGTTAAGAAGGTGGTATCGGAGAATGTCTTGGTTTTGGATTTCTGGACTTTATCTTAAAATAAAGCCCCTCATGACCTCTGCACCCTATCTTTCCAAACTAATTAAATATTAATCCTTGTCATGCCTCGGCAGAAGGTGTTCCCTCCTCTCCTGCAGCACCCCGAGTCTTTCCTCCATCCCGCCTCCTGGAAGTCCTGACTGGTTTTGAGTTTTAGCTCAATGTCCTCCTCTGAAACAAGACCTTTCTTGATTTGCCCGGTTGAGTTAGTGTTCTTCTGAACCCTGCCCTCCAAATCACTCTTGTATCTATTTTGTATTCACTTCTCTGTGTGCCTATATTGTTTTGTCTTTAGGAGAATGGAAGCTTCCTGAGGATAAGAACTATTTTTATCTCTGTCTCCCCAGTGCCTGGCACATAGTTGGGGCTTTATAAATGCTTGTCAAATTGAGAGTTACAACAAAAGTCAACTGGAATAATTGAACAATAGTACCCCCTGGTGTTGTAAACTTGGATCTGTCTGAAAACATTTCAGCTCTCACTTTGAAAAATTAATGCACTCATCCTATATCTCTGAACTTTAGTTTCCGTGACATGGTATTGGCTTTGAAAATCTCTAAGGTCTCTTCCAACTCTAACAAACTTCACAGATGCTGCCTTTGGTGGTCGATAGGTAAGATAGACCAGAGGTGTCAGACTTGCCCACACAACTCTTGAGTGTAGCCCAACTAGATTAAAATGTGGTTGGGGAATGCTTTACAAAATAAATAAAAATACAATGTAACAAAGATAATGTCAGTTTGTGGTTTTGTGAGCCAGCTGGCTTACAGGGATCTGTTTCTACTTGAGTTTGACACTGTGAATGTAGACTTCTTGTATGTGTGTGGCTTGATCTTATGTATCTGCCTAGTGGATTTGGTTCCGCTTATTTCTCTACCATCCGACAATCCATATCCACATAAAACAATTTGCTCTCATGTGGAAGAGTGACTACAGAGTCAGCTCAGGGGAGAGAATGACCTGGGTTCAAGCCCTATCTCCAACACATACTGTATGACCCTAGGCAAGTCACTGAAATGTCTCAGTGCCCTAGGCAATTCTCCAAGATTATCAGTTGCACAACAATTGCTAATCTGTTGGCTGAGGAGTTTTCTCACCCAGGAAGGAACTCCCTAAAATGATGGAATCACTGGTCTGGGTATTTTAATGCCCATCCACCAGAAGAAGGGATATCGGACATTCATAAACCAATTTGTCCTTCTAAATGCTAGTCCTGATTCCCCAAAGCCAGCATTTATTGTCTGTTTAGCTGTGGTGTTTACATGTGCTTTCGCAAGAGAGATTTGATGTTGATTCTTAAGGGCGTGTCTACATTCACGTGTGATCTTTCTAATTTGTTTTTAATCTGTCCAAAGAGGTACTGATTTTTATAAAAGTAACTACAAGTAGCCTCTGAAAGTTTGGTTCCAGTGTGCACTTAATCTAGTACTTTGTAGATGCTGCTTTATGGAGAAATGAAAGTCTCATGTGTATAGGCATAAGGAAAATTGATCGATCTTGAGCTTTAGATACCAAATTTAGAACCAGAATGGACCTTAGAGAACAGAGAAGCCAACATGTTCATTTTAGAGAAAAAGAAAACTAGGCCCAAAGAGGCAGTGACTTTTTTATCTGTGGTGACATAGAAAGGAAGGAGCAGAGTTAGGATTTGGATTGCTGACTCAATCCAGCCCTCATTCCACTGAACCACCCTTCCTCTATTAGAGTAAGCCTACTGTTTGTGATAGAAAATAGGACAAAAAGGTGTTATGAATACCCATTCAGCCACTCAACTCTGAACAATTCTTGTAAGATTGTGGTGATTCCATGGTAGCTGCCATATAGCATCACTCAGAACATTAGTATTTAAAAGATTTTTTTTTCCTTAGAGCAGTTTAGGATTGTTGAAAGCACCATGTAATTTCCAAAACATGGTCCAGCCTACTTTCTTCCTCATATCCACATCTGGACTCGGGCATCTGCAGATAAATGTACTGACAGACTAACTCAGCCGTCTGTCCATCTTGGTGTCATGATCTGGGCAATTGGCAATTTTCATCCATTTGGTTTTAACGTGTAGATAGTTAATAAGACTGATCTCTTTTGATTGGCTAGGATCTCTATTAGACCCCATAGTATTCTGGAGTTTGAGGCAATCAGCATAGCATTTTCTACAAATAGGAACATATGGAACTCTTTACCATAAATAGGGAATTCCTCTTTCATATGGACTCTGCAATCTGCTTTACGTCTCCCTTGACATTGATGATATGAATTGTTGGGTTAGGTTTTCTCTATGATTACATTTGTGAAGAAACCTTGTAATGATCTTAATATATGCAGTGGCAATATTTTGTTGAGATGCCATTTGAGGCTGCCATTTTGTTCTAACAAATCAGATGCTTTTTTGTAACTAAGAATAATAAACCCCTTTCAGTCAACTATATGACATTTTTTAGACTGTGGAGAAACTGTGAATAGAACTTAGTGGCCACCCACCTCGGACCTGCAGGCAGAAACCGCATGAGCAAGGGGATGACCTACTGGGTTGAGCTAGCTATTTTAAGGTTAGATTTGACAAAATTCATTCCACCAAGCCCCCAAATTGAAGTCTTACATTGGATGGTCCCTTACTCTCAAAATATCATGGGATGGTTAGAGAACAGACTCGATATAAAGATAAAGAGCTACAAAGCCAACATTGACATCACAATAATTAATTTTTTTAAAACTAACCTGTCTACATTAACAGAATTTCAGAAGACTTTGAATGACATAAATAATTAATCTCCCTTTACTATTGATCTTTCTTGGCCATCTGCTTTATTGCAGAATTTCTGAAAATGTGTCTAAACCTTTGGTGAAAGAATGTCTAGATTCTCTTTCAGAGAATAGTCTAGCTTCCACATCCAATCAAGCATCCCTGACATTTTGAATGTCAGTTATTTAAAACTGAGCATAAGGATTGAGTGTTCACAAGGTTAGCACCCAGTATGTTCTCCTTTTGCAGATAACAGACTTGTGGCTGGACGATACAGTCTTGTGGGTAACCACACTGCATTTAAAGAAACAGGGTTAATTCCTCTCAAATTTCTTTATCTTAGTCCTGGATGAAATTCAATCTATCTACACGTTGAATACAGTGGTCAATAACAGCAAAGTTTTCTGACTTTTGAGCCTTGACTTTCTATGTATTCTAATAACATTACTATGGGTTGTCTCTTTCCCTTCTTTCTGCCTCCCTTTTTGAGGCTACAAGAGCTAATTAACCCCAATGTCCAAGTTAATAATGACCTTCGTCTTCAACCACCACATAGTACTTTGTTTTGAACCTCTCTATACTTACAATGATTTCATATTTCATAAGAAATATGTTGAATGGAATTGTGCTAACATGCTATATTATAGTTGCCTAGTATTTGTATTTTATTCCCCTCCATGAGGACTAGGATTATGTCACATCTAAACTTCGTACTACCTCCAGCATCTAACACAGTGCTTTTCACATAGTACCTACTTAATATTTATTGAATTAACGAATCATCACATTTAGGACCATTGGATCCCTTGAAAACTACAGTGACAAAAATCCTGCAGGCTGCCAGAAGGGAAAAAAGAAATCCCATGTAATAATTTTTTAAATGGCAATTAACTCATCACATTTTTTTATGAAAGGAAAAAAACCTAAGTGTGAACATAACATAAAATAATAATAATAAAGATCCTTGATCTCAGTATCTGTTTCTAAACAACCACTTTGTTTGAAGGTAAAAGGTGAACATTAAAAAGCTAAAGTAACTTAGAGTTCATACTTCAAAATAATCTTTGGAACTGAATGCCTCCCATTCCAAATATTCCACATAAAGCTTAATGATGTAAGTGACAGCATAGTGAGCTCTCCAGTTTTATGGGGCAATGGCTTTCAGACTTGAATACGCACACCTGGCCCTTGAATGTGACAGAATGAGCCCACCATTTTTGTCTGGTACCCCTCTTTAATCTATCATCTTACAGATGAAGTTCTTACAGCCTAAAACCTAGGCCTTTCCTCCCACCAGGTCCTTGACCTTACTTCTACCTCTGTCCTTGTTTCCTGCTGCTTCTTTTTGCCTTGTTGACCTGTCCACCCCGTTCTTATTATAAACTTATCATAAAAATTATAAAATGTCTTGTGCTGGTACTCCATCTGCACTAGAATTTCTCTCCTGTCCTCCCCCTTCCTCCCACGGGAAGGTTCAATCAGCCTCATGAACTTAGACTTCATGGGCTTGGTGGGATCCTTTGTTATCCCCAAAGACCTAGTTAGTATCCCCACTACACTAGGATGATAGGATGGATCATTACACTGAGGTGGGGAAATATCTCAAAGAATTAAGTGCTTAGAATACTACTTTCTTTTAAAGTGCTGTCCTGTGAATTTTCTTATCAGTGCAACTA